ATACTTGGTATTTGGATAGCATCTATAGTAATGACATGGCAAGTAATGAAAAGATCTTTAAAGATATAGACAAGTAAGTCAAGTCACAAGTCATGCTTGGCAATGAAGAATTAGTGGAGGTTGAAGGTAAAGGAACTATCATTGTTAAGACAAGGAATGGGACACAACTCATACAAGATGTGTTGCTAGTCCCAAGACTAGAGACAAATCTATTAAGTTTTGGGCAAATGGTGGAAAGAGGATATTCTCTATTCTTCAAAGGAGACTTATGCACGATATACGACAACAAAAATAAAAGCTTGGAGATTACTAAGGTAAAGATGCAACACCAAAGGAATTTTCCAATCTTATGGCAATACATCAAGACGTCGATGAAGGCTTAGGAAGATGAATCATAGCTTTGGCATCGAAGATTTGGTCACTTCAATTTGCATAGGCTAAAAGTACTCCATCAAAAAGACATGATGAAGGATTTGCCATCCATTCAAGTGATGAACGACATATGCGAATGATGCTTGCTTAGTAAGCAACACTGGAAACCATTCCCATCAAGTGGTGCATGGAGAGCCAAGGCAATCCTGGAGCTCGTACATACAGATGTTTGTGGACCAATGAGAACGATATCCTTTGAACAAAGCAGGTACTTCATTCTCTTCATTGATGATTTTACAAGAATAACTTGGGTTTATTTTATGTGTGAAAGGTCAAAAGTCTTTAAGATTTTTAAAAGATTTAAGAATCTTGTTGAAAAACAAAGCGGCCAAAGCATAAAAGTTATTAGAAGTGATAGAGGAAAAGAATATACTTCAAATGAGTTCGCCAAGTTTTGCAAAGATGAAGGCTTAGAGCATCAATTGACTATCAACTATGCCCTAGAGAAGAATGGAGTTTCAGAAAGGAAGAACAGAACAACAATGGAGATGGCAAGATCAATGCTTTTGGGAGAAGGCATGCCTAAGATGTTTTGGGCAGAAGTAGTATATATTGTAGTCTATCAACTTAACATATGTCCAACAAGAGCAATAGAAAACAAGACTTCTATAGAAGCTTGGAGTGGAAGGAAGTCACCGGCACAACGCTTGAGAGTTTTTGGATGCATTTGCTATGCTCACATTCCAATAGAAAAAAGGCACAAGCTAGAAGAGAAAACAGAGAAGGGAATATTCCTAGGATACAGTACGCAATCAAAAGGCTATAGAATTTATAGCCTAAAGATCAAGAAGCTAACTATTAGTCGAGATGTGGAGTTTGACGAGAATGCTACATGGAACTAGAAAGAAGAAAAAGTGGAGAAACATAACATCATGGTACCAAAAGTACAAAGACTAAAGCCAATCAGTAATGAATGAGAAGAAGGACCAAAATGTCCTCAATCTACAACATCACCATCAACTCCATCATCGGCTACAATAGAAGAAGAAGACCAAGAAGAGTCATCTCCAGAATCGCCAATAAGAAGGACGATGCCACTTAGTGAGATAGATGAGACATGCAACTTTGTAACTATGGAGCCTGAAAGCTTTGAAGCAGCAGCAAAACAAGAAGTATGGGTAAAGGCAATGGAAGAAGAAATCGCAATGATTGAGAAAAACAAGACATGGGAATTAGTGGATTGTCTTCAAGACAAAGAAGTGATTGGAGTCAAGTGGATCTACAAGACAAAGCACAAGGTGAGGCTAGTCGCTAAAGGCGAGGCACAGTTGCCTGTGATAGACTACAATGAAACCTTTGCTCCGGTGGCACATTTAGACACTATTAGAGCACTCGTAGCGTTAGCAGCACAAAAGAAGTGGAAGATCTATCAAMTTGATGTCAAGTCGGCGTTTCTGAACGGAGTGCTCGAAGAAGAAATATATGTAGAGCAACCTCAAGGGTTCACAGTAAAAGGATGAGAAGACAAGGTACTAAGATTGAAGAAAGCTCTCTATGGCCTAAAGCAAGCACCACGAGCATGGTATAGTCGGATTGATGGTTACTTTATCAAACAAGGATTCAAGAGGAGTCAAAGTGAGCTTACTCTATACATCAAGACCCAAGGTAAATATAACACTCTCATTATTTCTCTATACGTAGATGATTTCATCTGTGCAGGAAACAATGAGATAATGATTAAGGAGTTAAAAGAAGATATGATGAAGACGTTTGAGATGAGTGATCTCGGATTAATGCACTACTTTCTTAGCATCCAGATCAATCAAGAAGAATAAGGTATCTTTATATCACAGAAGAAGTATATAGAGAATCTACTGAAGAAGTTTAAGATGGAAGGATGCAAGACGGTCGCTACACCACTCGTTACAAATGAGAGGTTCAAGAAAGGAGATGGTTCAAAGAAGGCTGATGCCTCAATCTACAGAAGCCTTATTGGGAGTTTACTCTATCTCACAACTACGTGGCCAAACATTATATATGCAACAAGTTTACTCTCGAGGTTTATGCAAAGCCCAAGTCAAGCTCACTATGAAGCAGCAAAAAGGATACTAAGATACTTGCAGGGCACAAAAGAATACGACATTTGATACAAATCCACTACTAACTCAAGATTGATCGGCTATACTGACAGTGATTGGGCAGAATTAGTGGATGGCATGAAGAGTACCTCAGGATATGCCTTCTCACAAAGATCTGGAATATTCTCTTGGGCATCAAAGAAGCAAGCTACAGTAGCACAATCATTAACAAAAGCTGAGTACATAGCAGCGACAACAACAACAAGTCAAACTATATGGCTAAGAAGAATACTTGAAGACATGGGTGAGCGGTAAAAGGAACCGACAACGATCTATTGCGACAACAAGTCTGCTATAGCAATGGCAAAAAATATAGTATACCATATTAGGACGAAACACATTGCAATCAAGTACCACTTTTTACGAGAGACAACTAGCAAATGAGAAATTGAACTCAAGCACTGCAAGTCCGAAGAACAATTAGCAAACATTTTCACAAAGGCATTACCACGTTCAAAGTTTGAGTTGTTACGGGAGCAAGTAGGAGTTACAAGAAAGTGCATTAAAGAGGAGTGTTAAAAAATAATCAACTTTCCAGATGTTTTCTAGAAGTTCAAACTTCTAGAATTAATTAGCATTCTAGAAATTAAATCTCTAAGCTTCAAAAAAAAATAATACACTTCCTAGAAGTTCTAACTTGTAGAATGTATTTGGGTCTAAAGATGATGATTTCTAGAAAAGGTAAAATTCTAGAGAGAGATATCTAGAATGTTGGTTGGCTTTTGCTCCACCTACTTGGCTCTACATTAAATAGGGCTAAGCTTGTACATTTGAGAACAACCCAATACAAGTTCCCAATTTCCCAACAACTTGAGCCTTTATCATTTGCTACCATCCTATCTTACCTAGTCTACTCTCTCTCACATCCTAAGTCCTAACAACTCTACTCTCCTCCATATCCCAACAATAATTACTGTAGGAATAAATTACATATATTCCCTCTATATGCATAGGCATGTAGGGGTAGAATCTGTCCAATGAAAATTCCAGAAGGAGAGGCTATTGGCACTTTTAGAAGTAGCATAGATATAGATGTGTAGCAGTGAACAGAGAAGGTAGGTTTTTGGAAGCTTTGGTAGAGTCCATTCAGGTGGAGGATGCACTTTTGGCGGAGTCATAAGCTATAAAGTTGGTGCTTGACTATGCTCCTACGTTTCTTGACCAATGAATTATAATTTTGGGTGTTTGCTTGGAAGTTGGAAGCATTGAAACTTATGAGATCTTAGGAGGCTATTGCATCAAGCTCTAGTTCTCTGATCTGCGGTGGTATGCAGCACAACCTCATTGTCTTATTTTTTAGTTTATCAAGTGTACAACCAATGTAGTTGCACATTCCCTAACCATGAATGCTTATTCTCTCACTGGGATGTGCATCTTTTGATTCTCTCATCTAATTTGGTAGAGGTCATGGATTTGATGATTGTGAATTCTTGCTGGAAGCAATTGCAATTCAAGATATAAATATGAAGATATGGCATTGAGAACGAAGAACTCTGCTTATTGATAATTACAGGTGGTTGTTGTGGGCCAAGATTCTTTTTGGTTAAATTGCACATGGGCTAACTTGCCCATGATTCTAATCCTAACACCCCCTCAAGTTGGTGTGTCAGAAGGCATCGAAACGCCCAACTTGGAGCGAAGATGGTGAAACTTGTCTGTAGGAAGAGCCTTGGTGAGAAGATCAATTGGTTGAGAAGAACAAGATAATTAGATAAGTGATGAGTTTGTAATGTTCCATGTTGGACTTGTTCCCGGATAAAATGACAATCAATCTTAATGTGCTTCGTCCTTTCGTAAAAAATGGATTGACTACTATGCTGAAAATCGTGCAATGGCCTCTGTCACAGTTGAAATGCTGAAAATCGTGCAATGGCCTCTGTCACAGTTGAACTAATTTGGCTTCGACGTCTCTTAACTGATCTCACTATTCAACTTTCACCCCCTTATGCAACTACATTGTAATAGTAAGACAGCATTTTACATAGCAGCCAATCTAGTTTTTATGGGAAATCAGATCTGCTCCTCACACATAGCGCCTCACAGTAGGCACATCCTACCGTCCATTCGGAACATCTCCCATACTTTATTTATGGGAGATGTTCCCAATGGACGGCAGGATGTGCCTGTGAGGACGTCGTGAGGCGCCCTGGAGCAGATCCCATCTCCATTTCCGGGCAATGTGAATTTCCTTACAGATGGTGCTGCTTGTATCGCAAATAATGTTGCCTGAACTTGTGTATGATTATGCTAAAAAATCTAACGAGTTCGTAGTTCCATCTCTTGAAATCCTGAAACCACCCTTATGAGTTGTCCTTGAATAAAAGCCCTGAACCAAATTATTATTTCATTTCAAGTGGTTCCAGAACGCCATGGGAAGAAATATGCAGGAGAGAGAGAGAGAGAGAGAGAGAGAGAGAGAGAGAGATGGAAAACAGTGCCAGGATTCTGTTGGGCTTCCCCCAAAAAGTAGGAAGATGGCTTCGCTTCAGATGATAGTAATGTATAAATAACTTCAGTAATTGCCGTCAAACTATTGATTAATTGCTTTACCGTAAACATTTAGCTTACATTTATATGGGGAGATCTTGAGTTCATGTAGCTCAAGCTAGGTTCTATATATGTGGCGAGTACAACAGGACAGAACTGTGTTGAAGCACACAACTACGAGACTGAAAGAAAACTACCATTTACAGGTGCTTTGTGGCTTTCAATCCCAAGAGGTTGGATTATCAACGACAAGACATGGTCCTTGCTTTTGTTGCTTTCAGCTCCCAGCCCATCTCCGTATTGGTAAATGCAAAGAGATGTCCGGGCGAGATTTAGACAGAAGTTAACGAATTGGAGCGAGAAAGGAGAATTGCTGATAGATTTGTTCATCTTCTTCCAAACGTCTAGCGTTAGACCTCTAATGTATTCCCGAGCCACTTGCTCTGAAGCATTGTGTTGTACCATGTAACAGTGGATTGACGATGAAACGTCACCTCTCTCAAGCTCCGCCTGTATCAACAATTAAATTAATTAATGTGAAAAGCAAATAATTAAATTAATTCATCAAGACTTCTCTCCTTAACACAACATCGATCCAAGTACTGGAAGATTAATTTGAAGGAACTTACTGATGAAGTTGCAAGATCGTTTGAAAGTCTAAAAATCATGGATGGACCATAAATAAGATCTGGGGTATTCTCCAAGTAGTCGAGCACATCCTTGTTGATCTCCTGTCCAGTTGCAAAAAACGCGTGGACTAGAAACACAGTTCCAGATGATGAAACCCATCCATTCTTCAAATAATCTTCAACCGGAGGTGTGGAATTCTTGTGGTACCATTTTGCCTCCTGGAACATCGCTTTAATAAAACCTGCCCACTGAGAAAAAAACAAAACATAGAATTTACCACTTGGGCAATATTGAAATAGGAGAAGCTAGCAGCTAGCAACTGATGATTAAAAGGTAAAAAGGGAGAAACAGCTATGTATAGTGCTTGTGACTTCATACATACCGCTTTTCTCAAATATGGTAGGATGTCCCAGCCCTGTTCTTTGAGAATTTCGTAGGCCATTTCATTGGTGGTGTTGAAAAGAGCCAAGAAGGACATCTTCATGTAGTCTGGAAGTTGTGCCATTGCTGCCGTATCCCACCTATAAAGGAGGACCAACCGGCCAAACCCAACACTCATAAATCAAAACTTTTTTATGATTCTGATTCTAGCTATTCTATTATACCAGAGACGATCGACTATGTATGAGCAATATTTATCTCTGTATAATGACAGTCCAATGACTATATATATGGATCATTAATTAGATACTAACCTCTCAACAGCATCAGTAAAGATCTCCAACTCCTCCAAAGAACCGTAGACATCGTAGATATCGTCTAATACCAGCACAAATTTCATGACTTTGGTAAGCCAATTCCTGCAACGTCGATACTGGGGTTCATAGGTAACCCCAGCACTCCACAAGAAACTCTCCACCAATCGATCTCTGGCGAAGCTCAGCTTCTGTGCTAAACCAAGATTTCTCCACCACCTAGTAACATATAGTAAGTAGTTCAATAAGGCAAAGTGTGTGCCGCCCAATTTTATGTTTGTATTATTATGCGTCTTCTAGAACCTGAAAACTAGCAACTGGAATGGATTTTTTTTTTTTTCAATTTTTTGGCTGGTCAGGCAAGAGATGGTCGGAAATAACTGAACCAAGTTTGTGATACGACATTAGCAAGTCAACTTTTCATTTTAATTTCAATCATTAAAGCTACGTTTGGTTTGAAGGAAAAAGTAGGGAAAGGAAAGGAAACCTTTAAAAATTTTGTATATGTTTCCCTATCATTCCCTTCCTTTCCCTACCTTTTCCTTCAAATCAAACATAGCCATGCACTTTTTTATAATTAATATAATATTGATACGACCACTGGTCGAATTTATCAAGTAATTAAAGCGACAGAGCAAATAATTGAGTCAAAATTCCATTATATGAAATTAATGTCTAGCTAGCTAGATTTACCTTGAGGCAGTTCTTAAATCTCTTTGGTGTACTGCTTGCACCATGTTGAAATCCAGCTTAGCCAATTCAAGCACAGTAGGATCCATATCCTCTTGCTCCTCATAAACTTCAATAAACCACCTATTTTCTGGCCTAAGCATCCTCCATTGCAAGGGGATCTCCAAGGCATGACTCAGTTGTTTGGCGAGACGTGAGTCTACATTCTCCTTGAGATGTTTGAGATGCCCTTTCGTGAACTCTCTCGCCTCATCCAATATGCTCTCACCTTCTGCACCGAGGTACGAGGCTTCGTACAAGCTCAGCAATCCCTGAACATCTTGGGATAGGCTTTCCTTGAATTTGCCTTTCTCATCTATGAACTCATTAAATACGTCTGCAGCCATTTCATAACTTGTTATATATATATATATATATATATATATTTTTTTTTCTAACGTCTCAAAGAGCACTGCATTGATTAATTAATAAGACCTTAATTACTGAATTAATCTAGCTATATAAATATATATTGGCTTGGCTATACCTTGGGGAACCTCGTGGCCATGTTGTCTAAGGATCCTAAAATGGAGGGCCGTCGCATACAAGTCCTCCTTCATGATCTGCTTACTGCTCTCACTGTAGACAGCTTGTAGAGCTTCTTGGATCTCCTTCTCAAAGAGATAGCCAACCCCAAGCCTTTCCAAGACATCGATGAGCTTGAGGCGAGCCAATGGATCCACTGTCACAACGAGCCTACTCCTTACATCTTGTTTTAGCTTGTCGGCTCGTGTTGCATATGTCTCACTCTGCAGAGTGCAGATATAGATAGGGTTATTTATTTACTATTACTATGAGGGTGAGCAAATATAGACTAGTACTGAACCATTGAATATATATACACAACTTTACTACAGAAAATTAAAGAGGAGTACGCAGTGATATTACCGCATAGTCACTCTTTAATGACTCCACGAAGTCGTAGTCCCAGATGGTGGGTGTGTATGTTCCGGCTTTCCTAGCGGCCTCTGAATCCTCCTGGGTTTGAACGTTGGCGACACATCTAATGCGCCAAGTCGGTCGGTGGCTGCTTGGAGTAGTCCTTGCTACGACATATCTAGTGCTAGTTGATCCCAATTGTGCGAAGGAAGGAGGGGTCATAACGTTGAGTTTAAGAGCCATTTTTATTAGCTCTAAAGCTCCTGCCTGTGATGAGGTCGTGAGGTTTTGGTTTTTATGTCCCGAGTTCCAAATTGCACCAACTACCATTTATATACAGAAGATCGAGCGAGGCCGGGCCTCCGGGGGCAGCAGGGTGATAGAATCGTGGAACGGGTGCTTTGGTCTTCATAATTTGCATGGTCACTATTTCCTTGAAAATAACAACAAAATAAGGGATAATTTTTCCATGGGACAAACTTAGACCGCTCTTTGGGTCTACAAAATGGAGACCATACATTACCACATCAGAAATCGACTTTACCTTTTTTTTTTTTTTATATCATTGTTCTATTATTGCTTTTGCTTTTGAAAATGATTTATGCTTACAAGTCAATTTCTTATGATGTTGAGTAGAAATTTTACATTTACCACAAAAACTAGACATAGAATAAAAGGGATTTGCAGGATTAATCCAGTACCAATAGAAAAGGCTGGTGGTATTTTAATTAAAAATAAACTAGTACTGCTTTATAATTTTATATATGGTTAAGATTTTTCTCATTTATTTTGCTTCATATTGTCTTTTCCTTTGCAGGAGCTATTTTTCTCTTTTGAGCTTCAGGAGGGTTCGATTCGACTCTAGAAGCATCAAAATATGGTACAGGAGCAAATTCCCGTTAAATCAAGAGGTTTCCACATCAAACAGAAATGTGGTTAGAGTTCGTTTGGAGAGAAATGATAAATTTCCATGGTAACCTTTTCTTCTTGGAAAAAAAAAAAAAATTTCTATGGCGTGTCGTCTGGAGGTCTTAACAAGATTGTCCAGTTTCAACCAGGTGGAGGGGTGGTGTGGCCATTGCGCAATGTATACCTCTAAATTGGTTTTTGGAAGCAAGAATAAAAGACCCCACAAATCTTCATTTTGTAGGCCCCTCATTTGAATTGCTATATATCCTTTCTTCTTCTACTGTCAAAACTCAAAAGTGGCTTAATAATCAGAAAAAAGGTTAAAGGACACTTGTACAAGGAAACCAATGAGGGGCTTTCTATCAAATTTTCTTCTCATGGGCCAAACCGCAGTAGAATATGGGTGGACCTCATTTTGGCAAAATTGGAAAAGTAAACACCACATTATATTGAATTATTCGGATTAGGTGAAGGTGATGAGAAATTGAGTGGTTGTGGCTAAGACGTTCCCTGTAGGCTGCTGTCATGGACAATTAAAGACCCCCTCCATTAACAAAATGTCATTCAACATCTATCATTTGTGGGTTAATTCTTCTAAAACCTTATTTTGCATGCCCCTTTCAAGGACCACGGTGTGGATCACCATCTGCTCTATCACCGCTCAGGAGGCCTGTGTTACCGTTCACCTGGCCATCTGCCAACAACAGACCTTAAACTCTAGGACTCAATGGTTATTATGCTTCTAGGTGTAGTTGCCTTTCTCCTCCTTCCTATGCTGATTTACCCACTTCAAATTAAAGCGAAAGCTTATTTGGTACAAAAGACTCTGCATCTCATTTTTGAGACGCAAGTCCTCTCCATTTCAAGTTTTCAATGGATTTTCCAAGCTTGCCTCCGATTAAAATCAACTAGAGAAGTTTTTGCCCAGAAGCAGTTGAACCCAGTGAAAAGAACAGACGGATTAACAGAAGCATTCTTATTTGCTATCAAACATTCTCTCTATAATGAGCTGTTGTATTGTGGTGTATAGTTTTTCAGGGGTACGGTCTTTATGTCCCCCCTCCTAGGATTTTATTTTACATATTAATAAAATTTTGGTGCCCCCCTTCACGGGGGAAATTTTAAGTTTTTCTACCAACGTTCCCATTAATCATTATTACCCATTCTTTGGAATTGATGGGGTCTGATCGTCTTCGTGATTGGATAGACAGAGGGGATGTTGCTATAATGATTTTCTTTTCTTTACATGCAAACAGAGGTTTTACGTACTCGGTTTTTTATTTTTAGTATATTTGTGCATTTGTATGCAACGTTTTTTCTTATTTGTTTAATATTGTTGAAGTTGTGTTGTTGTCTGTTTTTAATGGCGGCCATGGGGTTTAATAACTAAAAATGTTCCTTTTTTTTTCTTTTATAGTTGTTTTGTTGAAGACGATTATATGGTTTTTCTTTTCTGCAATTTAAATAAAAATCCATCTAATTGAAAAGGGTATATTAGACTTTTTAGCTCTTCCTTAAACATTGTAGCTACTGCATTAAAGAGGGGAGGTTTTAGTCCATTTTGAAAAGAGAAGGGAGGTTTCAGTATTTAGGACAAATGTTAAGAAAGGTTAAGTCTTAACCCCACTTTTAGATACACTACTAATTAAGCACATGCATTGCACGTGAGAAAATTTTCTTTATATTAATTACTCAAATTTTAGATATATCATAATTAAGATAGAAATTGAAAATTAACAAAAATAACAATATGATTAAAAATAAACTTAAATATTTTTTATTCAATTATATGACATCATGGGTTTTTTGGAAAAAGTTAGATCATTGATCCATCATCTAGATAAGAAAATAACATTGCTTTTGGATTAATTTTAAATTAGGGAAAATTATAGTCAGAGTCGATTGTACAATTAAAATTAAGTTACAAGTTGGTCCATAAACCAACATAACTCTGACAACCAGTTCTACATTTCAAACTATAAAAACCCTCGCCATGTCATTGGAGGCTTATGTGGTGGCTGTTTCCAACATGGGACTCTTAATCCATGTTGGACACAACAAAATGCTTATATTGAAAATTCTCTTTAATGTTGGGTGAATGGAAAATAAAAAAAGGGTTTTTAGTTTCTCTCCCTCTTTTACACCGTCTCATTCAGAGTAATCTATATCTACTCAACGACTATGTATTTGAAAATAAATAAAAATGGTTTTTGATTTCTATATTTACATTCTCTATATCAATTTCTCTCTTTCTCTCTCTCTACCTATCGCTCTCCCTCAATCTCTCTCATTCTCTTTTTTGGTCGATCTCTCATTCTCCCTTAATTTCTATCGTTCTCTTTCAGTTTTTCTCTCGCTCTCTCTCTCTCGTTTGTTTTACTTTCTTACACACTTATATGGTATTAATCAGGTCGTATAAAAGAACACGACACCAACTTGGTATGGTTCAAAAACTATTACACCAATTTGATAAAAATTTACAAGAAACTCTTGGCTATGAAATTTACACCAACTGGAGAACGATAGAGATTGATGGAGGAGGTGATATTGATTGAGAAGGAGAGTGAGGGAGAAGAATGAGAAAGATTGAGGGAGAACAATAGAGAGAGAGAGAGAAAGAGAGAGGTTTTGATTTGGTTACAGACCGAAGCTGAGAGAGTGGGAGAGACAGCACGAGCAGAAGATCGAGAGATGACTGTAAAGTGAGAGAGAAGGGAGGAAGATTGAGAGATAAAGGGAATGAGAGAGAAACTGAAAACCTATTTTCGGTATAGGTTTTTTGTTATGTCCAACATGGACTTAAAGTCCCATGTTGGCAACGACCACATAAGCCTCCAATGACATGGCATGGGTTTTTATAATTTGAAATGTAGATCCGGTTGACAGAGTTTTCTTGGCTTCTAGACCAACCTACAACCTAATTTTAAATGTACAACCGACTTTGACAATAATTTTCCCTTTAAATTATATATTTCATTTATATTATATAAAATATTTTTTGCTTTTCACCCTTAATTTTTGTTTGTCTATGGTATCATTTGACTCAAACCACTAACCCACCATCTAAAAATAAAAATTGTTTGATTTCTAAGTTGACATTAAATTTTGTATTACATTTACATCATTGATAAAATTATTTATTATGTACAAAACTTATTTTTGTTTAATAAAATTATTTATTACCTAATATTTTATTGTTTATAAATATATAACATTAGATATGTGCCCAAAATTTTCTCTATCCTTTTTTGTGATTCTTTGTATTTTCTATTATTAAAAATTTTATTATTTGACTGACATCATTTAATTTCTAGGTAGATTTTGAATTTGGCATTCCATTTTTATCATTAATAAAAATACTTCTTACATTTCATAGTTATTTATTTTAATTTTTTATTATGGTATTATGATATTATCTATTAATCTATTTGACCCTAAATGGTTGAATTGCTTGCCCACCACTGGGAGGGAAGAAAATGGTTTTGTTTTTAAATTATTTTTCAAAATATTTATTTTTATACTATTAAAATTAATATTTTGGATTTAATTACAAGAATTTAATGATGAGAAAAATATATCTTAAATATATGATTTAATGAGAGAGAAATATTTTTATTTTCAATTGGTTTTAAATTTTACATTCCATTTCCACCATTAATAAAAATTTCTTATTTATCATACTTATTATTGTTTAATATGTATATTAAAAATGTTCCCAATTTTTTTTTCATTTTATCTATTTTTTAATTTTATTATTTAGTCATGGAAACAAGGATTAACCCATTTGACTCAAAATGATTTAATTTCTTACCACCACCTAGATGAAAATACTATTTTTGCTATGTAGATTTTAAAAGTATAAGCTTTTATGTTATTGGAATTATTAGTTTATTAAATATGGATTTAATTAATAGAACTTAATGATGAGAAGAAACAAAAATGACTTAAATATATGATTCAATGAACATGAATGCAAGTTAATAACTTAAATGTTGGATTTAATGAGAGAGAATTGAATGAATTGAATATCTTTAAATTGCTTGTTTTTAACTCATTTAATATCAAGAATCAATTACCCTATTTGCCCCCATTTTTTATCAGTAAATTTAAATATAGAGGGGTAAATTTTGTCCTTAAAAAATTCCAGAAATATTCTTGAGACCATTCGTACTTTTTAAAGTAGTATAGATTAGAAGTGACCCTATGTACAAATTAGTTTAAAGTACCTCTGACTAGATTTAATTAGTTTTCTAATAGAAAATGACATTTGAATTGGTTGTTGGTAAGGCTGCAACTTGGGCCGGGTTGGCTCGAACCCAACCCTAACCTAACCCAAAAATGTTGGGTTGGGTTGGGTCAAGTTGATGCTTGGGTCAGGGTTGACCCCTTAGGAAACCCGACCCA